AAACAAACTGAATTTACACCACTGTCTCTTTTGCTGATTAAACCAAGATAACGCGAATTTTAATCTGAATCTTGAAATAAACCGCAAAGTGCTGTGAAATTTAAATTCTTCTGAGAATATGCCCATAAAACCATAATTCCCGATTAAATGCCAAATCACGCTCGCTTGATCAAAATTGAACCAAAAATCAACTAAACCCTAAGCCCACTGTATGAAACAATTCAGAGCTCTGAAAATCAGTAAAAACCCTAATTCTGCTTGACTGTCAAGAAAAGTCCGTTTGTCCGATTCTTGAGCCAGTTTGAAAAGTCAGGAAATGTTTGAAGCTGAGATTTCTTGTGGAAAAGCGCGAGGGCAAATTTTGGGGTACAACAATTAGCAATGGTTTTTTAAATGTCCCCATAGACACCCTATTGGAAAATAGAGATTAGCCCCTGGGGCCTCATAAATTAGGCGCGATGGTCTCATTCTCTTCGTCCAAGCCTACTAGTTCTAATGGTGGTATTTATGTGTCTTAATTTTACCATATTTCGAAACGCCCAATTTGGACCTCTAAGAACCCTAATCTGCATCAATGGTATAATTGCACATAGTACACAAAAACACAATTAAAGTAGATGGTTAGCTTCAGGACATATCAATTAGTATGAATTCATCAAAGAAACGCAATGAAAATGCCTAAATATGGAAACACGATTATGCATATAATTTGAAACAGTTTGAACCCCTTGTACCAATTCTGGGCGTGTAAAGGTTGGAAAATTATCCAGTTAGCTTCAGTGAGACACGAGGAAGCTTTTGCAATTGGTCTCGTGCTCTGAATCGACCTCTAACCTTGTTTTCAGTTTTGAAATTTTTAGGCCAAAAGTGTGAGAAACTTAGGTTTAGTATTTTTCATGTATTTTATTTAATTAACATGAATTATTAATAATAAAAATCCAAATAAATAAATAAATAATGAAGAAAAACTTCCCTTTAGGCCAAGTGGTCGTGCACATGCCTTGGATGATGAATTGTGGAAGAAAAATAGGCCCATTAGCAATTTTAGGTCATTTGAAGCAATGTTGACTTTTCAAAATATCCAAAAATTTCCCAACTTCCACAAGGCATAACTTGCTCAATTTTTAAGCTTTGCTCATGTTCTTGGACATTTTGGAAAGGTATTTGAGTCCTCTAACCAATGCCTTTGGTCCCATGTCATTTTGATTTACCAATCTCAAGTTATGGCCTTTGACTTAAAGTCCCTTTTTGTTGACTTTTGAAAATGACCTATAATGTTGAAATTGATAACTTTTTGTGAGAGAATTTCTTGGACTTGAAGTGTGAAGAGGAGTTGTTGGAAGTGTCTTTATCTTCAAAATGAGCTTTGGATGGAATTTTTCTGATAATCCATGTGAAAGTTATGCCCTGGTCAATTTACAGTTGACTTTTTCAGCTGTCCAAATAAGGAAACTTTTGCATCTTGATGATTTTTGAGCTTAGCTTTGAGAATCATGATCAAGCATTGATCAAATGATGTTTGTGGCTTCAAAATGAGATGTTGACCAAAAATTTGGACTTTTGACTGTCAAATGACCATTTTGCCCCTACAGTTGACTGTAGTGCAATTAGGGTTTTTGACTGTGCAATTTTGTGCTGAAAGTCTTGAAACTTTGTATGAGGATGCTTGACCATATTTATAGGCATGTGGGACTTGATTGGACCCTTGGAAATTTCATTTTCTTGATCAGAATCAAAATCCTAATCTTGACTGTTAGGAGGCCCTTGAACTGTGCAACCCTTGGGGAATTTTGAAGCATGACTTGGCAATTTCTTGAAGAATATGGGAGGGCAAATTTTGGGGTACAACACTAACAATTCAATACCACCTGCAATTCATATTTTTCACCAACATATACGATACACCGCATCAACCAAAATATACTACAAACGCTCCGTGAATTTGTTCGGACAATTCGACTATTTCCAGTTAATTAATCTTTCGCTAAATTACCAACATTTTCTACTCTGCACTACTCTTATTAAGTCTATACAGTTACTGCTAGTATAGGTACTACCTGTTACTAATATCTCATTTCCAAACTAGTACCATTAATCTCTATTATTAAAAATACTACTTGTTACCAACATACACTACCTGTTATCCACTTAATAAATTACTATTAGTTACTACATTGATCTTCTGCCAATTTATTCTACTAATTACTTCTACCGGTAATTCTATGCTAAATTATTGTATCTGTTATTAATATACTACTCTGCTAAATTAATTGAGCCATCCTCTGCTACTTAGCATCTTTGTGCAAATTTAATTTCTGGAACACCATTATTATTAACTCTGCTTCTACTGCTACTCTAGATACCAACTAAGTGTTAATCTAACAATTACCTCTGCTAGGTACCAACAAATCTGCTACTTGGTTTAAATTAACCTAATGGGATACTAATATAATTAATTAAGTTAATTCTACAACTTATTAAATCCATCTCTTCCTAATATTGATTTCCACAAATTAATTCTACTGGTAACTCTGCTATATACTACTACCAAAAATGCCTCTGCTAATTCATACTAATACTACTACACGAAGGCTCCACTACAACAACAAGAAACAAAACAAACAAAATAAAATTGAGACATCATGTGCCCCTCAACACCATTGTCCTGCCAATCGGCATGCTTCCCCTTTTAACATTGTGCCGGTCGGTACTCATGTCATGCCCTTCGGCATGTATGTTTTCCAGCCTCCCAGTCTGTTACTGATTACTAACGTATAATTTTCAGTTTCAAGCCAACCACATAGCAACGTAACAACTATATCAACATATAATAATTTCCAACAAGAACTATATCAACATATAATAATTTCCAACAACAAATTCATCGATTGATTCACTGCAAATTCCTTGAAAAATCTGATTGTGATAACACCAACTCATAACAATAACAATTACACGTACAACAACATTCCAACAACGATAATTTTATACAGACCAATTCCTGCATAATATTTATCATATACTATTTTATAGAGTCAGAACTCCACCCTTACCTTGGATTGGAGATCACTCTATTCTACCGGTTAAAGTCTCTCGTCCTAGCTTCCAACCTCTGCCTCTTCTTTGTAACTTTGCAGCTTTTCACGTACCAAATTCTCCAAGACTTGTTCAATTAACCAAATTCCTTATAATTATTAATATTCTTATTGAGCCTAACTTTCACACCCCAGCTATTACTCCATATAACCAAATAATGAGCCCAACTAATAAACCTTATATTATTCTAATATCTATATTAATATTATTGCTAATATTAATCAACCAATCAATTAAATATCAACCAAATAACAACTTAGCAACTTAAATAAACATTTCTTGATATTTCACAACTTCAACAATTTTTCAACAACATTTTCAACCATTAATCCGTAATTAATTTAATTAAATAATTAATTAAGTTAACGGGCGTTACAACTCACATATTCTTCATCCTCACAACTTTTCTGTTTGGACCCAGTCATAAACTCACCAATTGAAAGGCTCTCATTGATGGTTTAGTCACATCAATCTCTTCAAAACCATCTAGAATAGCAGTGACCCGTTCATCCTTACTATCACCCAACCCTTATACGAAATCGTCATCACATCCCTCCATCTCAACATTCTCATTGACACACCTTGGACTACTTACTGAGGCTCCAAAATGAGTAACATCATGCTCCACAAAAATTTTCCCGTCTAGTTGGGTCACACACGCTTATGCAGCGAAAAATCATAACAATCATCATCCTTCCTAATCTGGAAATAATTATCATCTATTTCATGAATTAAAGTCCATGTTCTATAAGTTTTCTGCTTGTAACTCCAACTGGTAACCAACCCATGGATGTTAAGTATTGTCAACTGATTCAAGTGGAGATCCGAAACTAAAGTACTTACACCCCCTCTGCAAATCGTAACCCCTTGTTCAACATTACAAATTCACCATCATGATGCATTAAAAAAATGATTATTCTGAAATCATTTGGGAAAACATTAAAAAACTAACATTTCACTGTATGTAGGAGTAAACGAACAAGCAGTTGAAAAAACTTACTTTATCAGCATCAACAAAAGCGCATTCTTCGCCGTGCTTCTTCGGTTGCCTTGAATGTTTCTCCTTTTTCGAGTGCTTCTTTTTCTTCGATGCAAGTTTCTTCCCCATTGCGAGCTTGCTAATTTTGTTTGATAGTGAACCCTAGCTTTTCCAGGGGGTGAATCAGTACACTAAATATGTTATAAGTAATAGACACAAACAATCCAACATGACATTTAATTACACAGTCATCAAACAATCAAATTCCACGTCTGAAACTCAAAGGAAATTTTGGGATGTAAGGTTTTCTGTTTGGGAATCTATATTTGTTAAGGGGCGAATTTTTTTTATTTTAAAAGGGAGATAAATCAAAACTTGCTACTATTGCAAGGGGATAAAGTATATTTAATCCTAATTTATATGTCATATATATATATTTTTAAATTTGATAGGATCTTATAATCCTCAATTTACAATCTTATTATTTCTATCCTATCTTGAATATAATGATAAAAACATATAAAAAAACAGATGAATGTCAAATATAAATAATTGGATGAGAAGTTAAATCCATCAAGTCTAAATCTATTTCTATTGATGCATAACTAACATTTTTTGAGATTGGAATATGTATAAAAGAAGGAGGAAATCGATAATGAGAGAAGTACTCCATCAAACAAAAGAATCTTGAGGAAATATACTTGAAATAATTATCACATGTCCGAGTGTGATAAGTCTCGAGATCGGTGCAATGTTGGTAAAAAATAATCAATATTATATTAGAAAAGAAAAAAATTATTATTTTGAGACAATTTTTTAAACTTTAAACGACTTTTATTTAGACACGAAGGGAATAACTAACTACCCAATCTTAAATAAATAGACTCTCCTCCCCATTTCATTCCCCAATTAGGAGCTAACAATAATGTCTTCTCCTTTTCCACGCCTCCTATGCCTATTCCTGGCTCTCGTCGTCCTCGCCGGAACACCTTCTCCGGCTGATTCTGCCGATGAGCTGGAGCGTGGAGGAGGCGGAGGCCACCGTCAGAGAGAGTTTGATTATTTCGCTTTGGCGTTACAATGGCCTGGTACTTATTGTCAGCGCACGCGCTATTGTTGTTCCTCTAATGCTTGTTGCAGAGGGTAACCTAACCTAACCTCCTCCTTTTCCTTTTCCATTTTTTCGATTTTCATTTTAATATGAATATAAAAATTGAAGGATTCAAAGTTTGTTTTCTGATTGCTATTTTTGTTTTTTGTTTTTTGCTTCTTTTTCAGCTCCAATTCTCCGGCAATATTCACCATACGTGAGTATCACGTTTTTGAATTTGTTATTGTTACATTGCGAATTTAGCTTTGTTGGAATGGTTCTTTCTTGTTGATTTTGAGTTTTGGAAGTTGGATTGAATGTGATTTTAATCAATTTCTATTTCGGAGTTGTGGAGTGCTTGTTGATTCTTGTAAATAGTAAAAGGGGCTAGCATTGTTACTTTGGATTATAGACATGTCTGGTGTCTGACAAATGACACTGACCCGTGATCGAAATTCAAAAAATGTGATTATATTCAATCATTTCAAATGTTTTGTCAACGTCGTGTTTGGTGTCTACGTCTCTATCAGTGTGTCATATCTGTGGGCACGGGGTTCCCCCAATTGCGGGGTTTGAATTTAAAAAAAATATTCTAATGATGTTTCCGTTGAGAAATTAACTTTAAGTGTGCTTTGTTGTTTATGTTTTATTTCATCAGTCAATCCTTTTCTGTTGTTGCTTCCCCTCATATTGTTTTTAGATTCTTTTGGTTGTAAAAATTAAAATCTGTTTCTGGAGATTAACAGTATACCAACTTGTGTTTCTTCTGAGTATGGACTATGGATATTCCTGCAACAAATTATCTAAACAGATCATTATATGTGCTTGTATAATAGATGGACTCTGGCCTGACTATAATGACGGAACGTGGCCAGCATGTTGCACCAAATCCCGTTTTGATCCAAAAGAGGTATAATTTCACTGCTTTAATTTGCAAACCATTATATTGCTAATCACAGGTATTGGTTTTCAATTTTTCATGTTTTGACTGACAAATTTTGGACAGAATCAAATTGAATTACCATTCTTGGTTATAGCAGAAAGTTCTAGTAATTCCTTTTAGTTTTATTTTACTGGATAATTTATTAATAAAATGAGGAATGCTATTTAGTACGAAAGAATTTGAGCAAGAAACACAAGAATGTACATGTGTCATTAATTTAGTGGATAATTTTTAATTTATTATAAATTTAATTTCCTTTTTAATAGGGATCATGGGGTGGTTGTGATAAGGAATGGTTGAGATTTATTCTTGCCTTTCTTGTTTTCACTTTTTCTTACTAATAAGCATTTTCCTAATAAAATATTAATTTCGGACTGGTGAAACTGCAATATTTTAAACTTTTTCACTGGTTTAATGTTTGTATTTTGGTTGTATTAGTGTTGCATTTATATTATACAATTTATCAAATCTGTTGCATCAGCACTCCATTTCAATTTTTCGATGTTTTACTGTTTCTTTTTGTGCGTAGATATCTACATTGAATAGTGCTTTAGAGCAATATTGGCCATCATTGAGCTGCAGCTCACCATCTTCATGCAGTGGCGGAAAAGGTTCATTTTGGGCTCATGAGGTGCTCGCTGAAAATTTACTTATTCCTTATGTATCCTTAAATTATTCTCAAATCTAATTTGTTTTTTGATGTGGTATATGTTTCTGGGGCTACCACATTGGTGCACATTCGCAGTGGGGTAATAATCTTTTATAGCTTTTGCTCATTTACACGATTTAAAAAGATCATTTCATTTAATGCCTTACTCTTGCTTGAGAGTAATAGTTACTCCTAGGTTGTTTTCCTAAAATTTGATGCATTTGGATAAAGTTGATTATAGACAGTATGAAGTTGTTCAAAAACAAAACTTTTTTTTTTTTGGTTATGAAGTTTTCTTTTCTATCACTTAGTTAAAATTTTTTTTCTGCTACTATGTTTGAGGCAGTATCTTTGTTTTTCTTGTACTAGTATTCCAATCTTCTAATGTTGAAATTTCAATTGCAGAGAAGCATGGCACGTGCTCATCTCCCGTGTTTGACAATGAATATGACTATTTCTTGACAACACTTAATGTCTATTTCAAATATAATGTTACGGTAAGTTTGTGGAGCATAATTTTTGTTGCCCAGAAATTTCTTTATTTTTTCTTCTAGTTAATAAAGTTTGTCCGTTGATTAATGAATTGGTCAATTAGTCATCCCTTTGATCTTGGTGTACATATGGTATGCTTTGATGGGTTGGCTTGTTGCTTCTGTATGTCCAAACAAATACATGCAAGTTTGAATTATATGTTGGTAATTGGACACACCATCTTATCTATTTTGGGCGGTGTTATATAGATTCCTTAATGTTCTTTTATTAGATAATGCACACTAAAGTGACACGTTCTCAATGCATGAAAAATTTGGATCTTATTCTGTTTTTGGTGACAACCAATTGTATTTACAAAACCTTTGATTGTAAAAACCAAATGCCTACTTACATTTTCATCACAACATACTTTGACTATTTGTGTTTTGTCTAATATTTTTTCAGCAAGTTCTAAATGAAGCTGGATATGTTCCGTCAAACACAGAAAAGTATCCCCTCGGAGGCATTATCTCTGCCATTGAGAATGCTTTCCATGCATCTCCTTTAATAGTTTGCTCAAAAGGTTCAGTTGAGGAGCTTCGTTTATGCTTCTATAAGGACTTCACGGTAAGAAGTCGGCTATGCCCTGTAATAGATTCCATATAAGAAACTAAAAAATGTTGCAGAGACACCGTTTGATTAAGAGATGAGTAATACTCTCTTGTAGGTGTTGTTTCCAAATTCCAACTATTGATATTGCTATAGCATTTCTTCGTAAGATTTATAGTATAAGGCATTGGATCTACATGCAATAGTTGTGCGATCACTGAGTGTTCTTGACCCATTGGAGAGTTGAAAAGTATAAATTTTATGAAAAATTGATCTATTTTCATAAAATGAAGGGAAGGCCACCCAGGTTAAGCAGAATTTAATGCATACTATGAGAGAATTCCAGTGAAGTTGTACTTTAGAACGGTTTACTAATGCTATTCAAACACAATAACTATGCCACCATACTTATTATTTGTCCTTTTTTTTTGCAGCCACGTGATTGTGCTATTAAACCAGACGCTAAAATTGATATGGTTACTTCAAAAGGATCATGTCCTAAATATGTTAGCCTGCCAGAATCAATAGGTAAGTTCATTACTCTTTGATCTTGATGCCAGTATAACTGTTGCTATTTCAGACTTTCAGTTGTTCTTAACTTAAACCCTCAAACTACTTAATTAAATTTTCATGTAAGTGGACTGATGGATTAAGGAGGAATGAACTGATCCATAGTCCATTTCATAAAAGACACAGTGAAGGATTTTGACGAACCACAGAAAACCGTGGCACTATCCTAGTTTCGTCATTATTTATTTATTTATATGCTATTCTGTTATTACTCTCTCCCTAACTAGTATTTAACATTGGGATCTCTTCTCATATAGTATGAACTATAAATCATTTTACATTTCATCACCTAGAAGTTTGTGCTTTTAGGGTAGTTGCTTTATGGTAGACATGTATTACTAAATCATGCTTACTATAGTTTGGTCAATAATTACTTACTGCTCCATTGTCAATTCGTGACATCTAAACAATAAACTTGACAGTACCATTTCAACAAGCATGTTTCGATATCAGTAGTACTGAGAAAGAGCACAATTTAATGATTTTCTGACAGAACAAGAAATTTCATTAGAGAAAAAGAAGTACAAATGGGATATATGATAAGAAACCGTTCAAAGAAAAATCAATAATACAACAACAAAGAAAAACCAGAAAGTAGTTTTTTGGGGAACTGACTCACTAAGTATGAAGCAAGGCTTTCCAACTTTTGCAAATCCAAGGTTACAACACCCTTAGCCGTCCTGGTAATATGGGTTTATGAGGAAGACCCTTTTGTTCGATAAGTATTTGAGATTACCACAAACATCGCCTACTTACTGCAGTTTCGTGGCTGCCTTCTTTATCACTGCCTATTTTTTATTTTAATTTTTGAGAATATCACTGCCTATGTTTAACTATTTACTTAGTTTTCTATCATTCTATGGGTTGGAGGTTGAACATTGTTTTCGATTTGTAAAATAATGACCATTGTGTATTTCGTTTTATCAATTTGGTTTTATAATAATAATATAATCTATGCATTTGTAGGGCATGATGGACTTCAGAGTCGGGTGTCTAAAGATGCATCTCTATAGGGTTATGCTAGTGTACTTGTATTTTGTAAATTTCTGTACCATGCGAATAAACAAAACCACAAGCTTATATTTGTTTGGATGTTGTATCATTTATCAATTTGGAGATGACAAATTGGATAAATTGAAGAACTGGACACATGCCTTCTAAACTTGGCAGGAAAAATGAAGAGATGGCTTAAATCATTAGCGATCTAAATCTATCTCAACTATGCTGCTTTGTGTTGAAGGCTCCATTGTATCTTTTTCTTTTATTCATTGATTGAATGTACTATTGTACAATGAAATATGTTCATCATAAGGAGTTGTAGTAAATGAATATTTACATTTTCCCTTAATATCATCTTATACCTTTGTTCTTTAGTTCGTGCTGCGTTTCTTTACACACATAATACACTGCAATGACAATACCAAGAAATTATTAAAAACTTTGCATTTCGCCGTGATGTGATTTACCTTTTTATTTTTTATTTCTTATTTTCTTGGTCATAATTGGGAATACCCCCATCCACCATGTTAGTTACAACTTCCAATATGATAATCATTACATCTTTTAATTTTATTTCTCCCTCTTTGTAAACATCCCCAATAAATCTTCCTCGTGCTATTACATTTTCCAAACACAAACGCATCAAAGATATAGAGACAGATGAAGGCACCTATGCGACTCCTTTTCATAATTACCTTTCTTGGTTCATTCCTCCATGCAAGGCCAGAAACTGACTCGTGTACCAGAAATCTGAGTCTCCAAGTTCATCTCCCTTTTGATACAACCAACCTTCACTGCCTCTCTGTATGGGATGCTCAAGGTTTCATCCTCAGAGTAGGTGCACTATTTCAAAATATCTTTATTCGAATAGCACAACATATCCTAATTATTGTTTACTATTTTGCAGTATGTTCAGACTTCTGCAAACATTTGGAGCTTTATTCTCTCAACACCAGACACAAATTCTTACATATCTATGGGGTTTTCAGCCAGCGGCAGCATGGTGGGTTCAAGTGCAATTGTGGGGTGGGTGTCATATAGAGGAGCCAGTGGAGGGATAAAGCAGTATTACCTTGGTGGAGTTACCTCAAATCAGGTAGTCCCTGATAAAGGCAACTTGCAGGTTATAGGCAATTCAACCTTCATCAGTTTACAATCCTCTCGTCTTTACATGGTGTTTCAGTTAGAAACTACCGAACCTCTGTCCTGGTTGATACTTGCCACTGGATCCACTGGTATATTCCCTGCAGCACCAGATTATTCACTAACAAAACACCTAGACAAGTTTTCCACAAGAATAGATTACTCAAAAGGTTAGTATACATTTGTATTTAAGCTGAGGTTTCATGCCGCGATTGAGGCTGCATCAATTGCATTCATCTTCTTTGAAATATAGTCATAATAAATGATTGTTATTCTTTATTAAAGAATAAACAATTTATTTTTTAAAGGGCAACTAATTGGAAATAAAAAAATATATATTTTCGGTACAATGATGTAAAATACTAATTTGTGGTTTGGTTTATTGTAAGCCACATAGTGGGAGAAAGTAGAACTGAAGCAACAATGTTGCTATAGTACAAATCTGACATCCGTTTTTGAACTTTCTTTCTATCCATAAGTACAATTAGTGGCTAATGGTTAATCACACATCATTGTAGGTCATCATGTCTGTGGTTGAATATTGACGGTTTATAGTTGAAAATTCATTCACTTGAGAATTTTAGATTGGGCATGTACATAGTGGGTGAGATGTTTTTATCAAAAACCAAAAAACTGCCAAAAAAGCTAAGTTGGGAAGAATAAATAGTCGAAGAAATTAAAACTATACTCTCGAGGTGTCGTGTAGATTTTGCATAAAAAACATGGACAATTTAGACTGTGCGCAAGTACTTTTTTTTTTTAGAAATCTAGTATCCTTTGCGAGCAACTATAGAGAATAATCACTTGAGTCGGGGAGAATCACAATAGAAAACATTGCACACAAATACTTAAGATAATATATAAGTTTAAATAAATCAATCTAAAGAATGCCATATGTTTATTACTACGAGTCTCAATGAAAAACAGATAAAAGAAAAAAATAGTTTGAATTAAAGCAAAACTATTAACCCCCTCTAATAATTCATGCAAAGTTTGCATTATCATATTTTTATGATCATTTGAACTCTATTAATTAAATCTTATTTCATGAATGGAAGGTTGACTCTATCATTCTATACGAAATAATAAAAAGGAATGAAAGATTGACTAATTAATGGGTTAAGTTAGTCTTTCACCAAATCTACCTAATCAAATATAAGCTCATCATATAGATTGACTCTATCACTTTCCACCAAATACCATTGTTTAATTTGTAATCTTTTCCATTTCTGGTAACAACTTTTTCCTTTTTATCATGAATCAAACAACAATACGTTCTCACGAATATGATTCCCAGCACACAAGCATATACAAAATACAAAGAAATGAAGGCACATATAGCACTCATCATCTTCACAATTTGTTTTCTTGCCTCAGCAAATCATGGGAGTTCACAATTGAATGGAAGTTCTTCTTCACAAGGAGATGTAAGTAGTTCACAAGGTGACTCATGTAGCTCCAAGCTAAACCTCAATGTCCCTCTCCTCTTTGACACAACCAAGCTCAATTGTCTTCCTGTTTGGAATGCTCAAGGATTCATCCTAAGAGTAAGTGCATTATCTTAACTTTTAATGTAAGTAACACTGACATCTTTGAATAAAAGTGTGTCTAGTGTCTGACACGTGTCAGTGTTCAACACCGACACACATGTGACTACATTCAATTTATTTATTTTTTCAAATTATTATTAGTGTCGACGTGTCAGTGTCTGATGTTCGTGTCTGTGTCGGTGCTTCATAAATTTCATCAGATACACATTAAATTAACTATGTTTATGCAGTATTCTCAAACTTCTCCAAACATATGGAGCTTCATTCTCTCAGCACCAAACCAAAATTATTACATATCAATAGGGTTCTCTTCCAATGGAGGCATGATAGGTTCAAGTGCAATTGTAGGGTGGGTCTCATCCAATGGTGCTAGTGGAGGCATGAAACAATATTATCTATCAGGGTATGGACCAAACCAAGTGGTTCCAAATAGAGGCAACTTACCAATTATTAACAATTCAACTTTGATCACATTGCAATCATCACGTTTGTACATGGCATTCCAGTTACAGACTAATCATCCTCTGTCCCGGTTGATCTATGCCATTGGACCAAATGGTGTTTTTCCTGCGGCTCCAAGTTTTGGTCTAATGCAGCACCAAGACAAAGTTTCAATTACAGTCAATTATGCCACAGGTAATTTTTTAGCTTATGAAAAAAAAAGCCATGCATGTGTTTTTTATTTCATCACGAGTAAATTAAGGGCACGTATTCTTAGATAATAAAATAAAGACTTATTATTCTTTTTTGTCTCATATTTTGAGTCAGAATTTATTTTAGTCTCTTAACTTTTAAAAAGATCAATTTAATTCTTGAATGATATTATGGTGTACGTGACATCCCAGTTGACATATGTGTAATCACCACAATCGTTTTTCTTAGTTTTCTCTATACATATGAACAAATAACCTTTTGTTGATGAGATATGAAAGTGTAAATACGACACTAAGTCCTACATCCAAGATCATCAATCAAAAGTTCTAAAAAGTGCCCAACTATCCTTTGTTTCCCCCTTCTACAACAACAAAAGCTATTGGCAGCATTTGATCATTAAGATCTCTTCTTATGGCTGCTAATATTTGTCCTCCACATAGACCCTTTAAAAAACACCCATCAAGACCAATCATGACTCATGGGTCTGCAAAGTTTGAAATTCTCTTACATGCTTCATAACATATGTATAATCTTTTGAAATGAGGCCTTTTATCAGCTGCTTCTTCTTGCACAAGTTGAGCAATTAACTTGATTGTTGGCCTAGAACTTGTTCTTAGATTTTCATGACAATTGCCTTCAAATGCTATATCCAATGCACTTTCATAATTAAAACTCGCATCATCATTATCATTCCCACTTTCAAAACCAATCATCCCACCCTCATTCATCACGCCAACATTAACCTCATCATTAGCCACTTCACTATCATTCAATTCACCATCTTGCACCTCATCATCATGGACTCTATCTCTGTGCACATATGTTTCATCACCTTTCACTACATACAATTTAGAAATAAAATCTTCTTCATCAAGATTAACAATATCCTCATTGTTTATATCTTCTTTCTCTATTAATGTTGTACATAAACATCAACACTCAAGTAAATCTTACATAAATCTGCAAATATCTTAGGAACCATTGCCATCAGTCAAAATATGCATCCCAAACGTTGGGTCCTTGCACCATATAGTATCTACTTACCTATATCCTAGATCCTTAACTATACCTACCAACTCGAAATAACCCCATTTATTAAAATCACATTCAATTATGAAATTCTACCCTCATACCTAGTTAGTTCATCATCAACAAATGACCCTCCATGATGAATAAACACATGAAGAAATTCTTCTATTTTTTTATTAGCTATTTAAAAAAACAAAACCTAAATTAGAAAGGAAAAAATAAGGTGAAAAAACTATTAAACAACCGCATATTCCTTTAAACCTTAAACAAAGATAAGCAGAAAACTGAATATTTTATACTAGAAATTAGAGTTTCGCAAAAATACCTATAACAACTACATGTTTAGTTAAACCCTAAATGAGAAAGGAGTTAAAATTTTTTGACTTATCGTCATGAAATCTTGTGCCCGCACTCTAGAAACCTGCATTCGTATTTAAAAATGGTGTTTGTATCTTCACTAAGTCTGCATCATTGTCTTCTCCATTGCCATTCATATCTTCCCATTTCTTTTCAAATGTTTGTGGTTTTGGCTCAAGTAAACATGATTCGATTTTAACTCAACATGGTTTCTAATTCCCAATCTACATCAGTGCCATGTGGACCGTATATAGTCATTTAATTTGACTTTGACTAACAGAGTTAATACAAAGGATAAACGTGATATAGTTTAAAGAAATAAGGGACTAAAAAGGTTCTTTTAAAGGTTAAATAATCAAAGTGAACCTTTAGTCAAAGATAAAAGACGAAAAAAAAGTATTAAGACTAAAATAAATTCTTTTGATAATCAATAATTTATAAATTAGTTTTAGAGGTTTTTAAAAACATTTAAGCTATTTTTGTGTTGTCTTACAAATTTCATTTCGTTTGAAGTGATGTTTAGCAAAGAGTCATAATCAGTCATGTATTCACAAATCTTTATAGAAAAAAAATCTCCATGTAGCTAATAGGAGAGAAATTGAGAAATTATTCAAAAGGAATATTGATTTGCAATGAAGGAATGATACTTTTTGGGGGTGGGGCAGGTGATTGCTTAATGATTCGATAATTGCGTAACAAAAATAAAAATACTATATAAAGTGGGAAGAGAAAATTAAAGCATGTTATATAATGAAGATTATTTTAGTGATGACCTTTTGGCTTGTTTATTTTGGCATGTTATGTTACGTAGAATCAACATGACTCATTAATCTCACAATCAAAATAACTTAGACTCGGGCAAGTGGATTGGAGGAAATTTTTCTGTCATCTTGTTGCCAAGAGAATAATTAAGTTGAAATGTAAGTTCAGAAATCGACAATCCACCAAACTAAACCTATGTGTTATGTCCTTTCTTGTGTGGTAGATGTAAAAAAGTTGAGGTTGACACATGGTTTATATTCCAAAAATAAAATTTAAGTTCAATTTCTTTAACTTAAACTATAAGTCGTCTAATCAAGACTGCACGACCTAAATCCGACATCAGACAACTAATATCTAAAAAAAGAGAAAATCAAATTGATTATTCATTTTTAGAATATAGATCATTTATTCGAGATACGATGATTTAGATTGTACAATTGTGACTAATGCAAGTTTTTGTTATTTGAAATAGGTTCAAGTGCATTAGGAAACTTAAATATGAACCTAAAAAGAAGCCATGGGGTGTTGAATATATTGGGATGGGGAATCTTTATCATAATGGGAGCAATAGTTGCTCGTTACTTCAAGGATTGGGATCCATTTTGGTTTAATTTTCATGTTTCAGTTCAATCATTAGGTTTTGTTCTTGGCCTAATTGGTGTAATTAGTGGACTAATCCTTAATAATCAACTTCATGTTGATTTTAATCTTCACAAAGCACTTGGAATCATCATTCTTGTTCTTGCTTGCCTCCAGGTATTTTTTTAAGTTAAATTGTCAGTTTGATTTTTAAAACATTGCTTAAAAAACAATTTTAAAGATTTAGGTTCTTTGTTTTTGCAGATACTGGCTTTTGTTGCTAGACCAAAAAAGGGATCAAAAGTGAGAAAGCATTGGAATCTATATCATCATAACATAGGGAGAATAGTAATTATATTATCCATAGCCAACATTTTCTATGGAATCCATTTAGGAAATGAAGGAAGTGGATGGATGGTAGGTTATGGAATTGTGCTTGCAATATTAATCTCTATTGCGGTTATTTTTGAAATTGGACTTTGGAGTAAACATTAATCTATATTAATCTCTATTTCATTTTGGAGTTTTTTAGTTTCTTATTGTAAGCTTATTGTATGAGGAGGACTAGAATTTAGAAATGAGTTGATTTTACATTAAACACAAAGGTGTGAAGAAAACGTAAGAAAGGGGGTGTTGAATTGGGTTTTCCTTTCTTGAATAACTTTCGCTTCTAGGCATTATTCGTTGAACAATACTTCCGAGTGTTCCTTCTAAGTAATGTTTCTAATTAAGTTAAGAAAACATAAACTCTAAAGCATAATCAAAAGTAGAGAACACGCGACATATCCTGGTTCACTTGAGAAACCCCCAAGCTAGTCCAGTTCACCCTTTTGAGGTGATTTCGCCTTGAACTCAAGGACTTAATCCACTATAACCAATCTCATTACAATCGCACGAGCAACCGCCAGTGACTAACATCCAATAACGCGTTCAAGGATCCATACTGTATATAACATTCATTGACTTAATAGAATCCAGTTCACCAGAATTTCCTACCATGATTTCCCTCCAATGATATCCATCAGTGATCTCACAAAGTTGACCTTCATTCAGTCCCTTTTGAGATATGACTACCATTGATCAAATAGAATCCACTACCAGGATTTCATCTACGATGACTGCAGTCAAAGTCTTCTGATTTTCACTCAATCACTTGAGGAATCAACCAATTCTAAACAAAATTATTTTTTTGGAGATTACATGAGTGCTTCTTATTAAGCATATTACTCATAATTTAAGTACATATTGTTTGACACAATTCTGAGTAACAACTCTTGTGTACAAACAATTTACATGAAGATCTTAAGCAATAACACAATATGAGTAACAACTCTTGTGTTTTACATATTTTTACAAAGATGAATATAATCTAAGTTAAGTGCAGCATCTTGTAGTCTTCATGTCTTCATCGTCATCGTTGAGCAAGCTATGAGCAACAACTCCTTCCTTCTTCATAATTTTGTCAAGATATATATGATTGATGATTTGAATGACATCTTATAAAATTCTTTATCTTCATCTTCTTTCTTCATTAAGCAAGATATGAGCAACAATCTCTTGCTTTTTCATAATTCTGTCAAGATGTATATGATTGATGATTTGAATAATATCTTGTAGAATTCTTGTTGTTATAGTGGTTGATAGCTTTTTGGTTGTGTTCCAATAATTACAACTTTCATTTTAACATTGAGCACCAACAACGTTGCAACTAGCAACTTGCATCATGCAACTAGCAACTGGCAACCAGCATTATGTGACACGCAGCCAGTCACATTTAAACATATGATTCTTTTCTTATATAGCCAAGCAAAATAGAGTCGTTGGCTATTTGAAAAAGAGTCATTACAAATAATACTGCTACGTCCTTATCTCTTCCACAATTCAAGTTAGTAAAGAGGTAGTGTAATAAATATTTTCGTACTGTGTACTATTGTACCATATTACCGTAATATTCTTTCCTTATGCACTTAAAAGGCTTCTACGAGCATGAGGTTAGAAGTGGGAACATAACATAAAATCTTCAGAAATTTAAGTCTTCAGAGTCTTCAGAACTGCGTCTTCAGAGTCTTCAGCACTTGGTCGTGAGAACCCGTTGTAGCGAATCTTGGATCATAAGAGTTTCAAGTCTTCAGAGTCTTAAGAGTTGCGTCTTTAGAGTCTTCAACACTTGATCTTGAGAATCCGTTGTAGATAACCTTGGACCTTTAGAACTTCAAGTCTTTCGAATCTTGAGACCTCTTGTCTTTAGAATCTTTAGCACTTGGTTCTTTAAGAATCCTTGTCTTTAGAACCTTGTTATTAAAAACACAAAGTCTTCAGCATCTGAACTTCAGTAGAAACGTTGTCTTCAGATTTTTTAACTTTGTCTTCTTTGAAACAAGTTATCTTTTAGAAACTAAGTTTTTAGCATCTAGACTTCAGTAGAAACTTTGTCTTAAGATCTTCTAACTTTGTTTCTTTGAAACACACTGTCTTTTAGAAAGATGAGTCTTCAATATCTGGACTTTAAATAGCAACTTTTGTCTTTAGATCTTCTGACCGTTTCCTTAAAACAAGTTGTCTTTAGAAGCTTGAGTCTTTAGCATCTGGACGTAAGTAGCAGCTGTAAAATCAAGCTTCTCAAATGAACTTTTATTTTGATGAAGACAAACCATGATTGACAAAGAAGGAAAATATTTGTGATCAAACTCAAAGCATCTATGGACAAAATCTTCAGTTCAAAGCTCTTAGCAACTTTCAAAATATAATGATAATACTTACTTTGATCTTAAGATATAGATGCTCAATGGTGAATAAGAAATGTTTTATAAATCATTACTCAAGTTTTTCAAAGTTAAAATTCATTTTTCACTTGAGTGCAATCGATTTGCATATTAGTGCAATCGATTGCATGCTTCAATTTTTCAGATCTTTTGCTTCTGTTTCTCAGTGCAATCGATTTACATTGCTTGCGCAATCGATTGCATATTTAAAATTTTCAAAACGTTTGCTTCTGTTTCTCAGTGCAATCGATTGCACTCACTCATTTTTGCTACTGACTTCACATGCAATCGATTTACATTGCTTGTGCAATCGATTGCACACTTAAAAACTTTTGAAAATATAGCTGTTGAAACCCCGTGCAATCGATTTATACAAAGGGTGCAATCAATTGCATGCTGCACGATTTTGAAAAACAGCAGCTTTGCACATGCCTGTTCATAATACCTTTTCATTGAAACCTTTCACTCAATCTTGGAAATTGTTCGTGATTCATTTACAGAACTTTATGATGTTTCAAAAAGGTGCTATGAACATATAAATATTCATTTTCAAAATCATTTTCAACAATCTCTTCCAAATATATTTTCTGAAATTTTCAAAATACAAACTCAAGCTTTTCTTCACTTTCATACATAAGTTTTCTGCATACTTTTATACATTGTTAAACAGAAAACTTTGAGCATTTATATCTTGAGTTATTATACATTATTATCATTGGAAGAGAAGATCATTCATTATTAAATCACTCTAAGTGGTCATTACTACTCAACTCACTCAAAATCAAATATTGTTTATACTTACTTATTTTTCCAGGATTGTTGGAAATAAGTTTAAGTGGTTTTATAAATCTTGTCTTTCCAGAATTGTTGGATACAAGTGTAGTCACCTTGAAAGGATTGTTCTCATTGTTGACATAGTGAAAATCCAATAGGATTGTTCTTGGTGTTTGGTTGTATATTGCTTTCCAGGATTGTTGGAAGCAAGAGAGTCATTAAGGGAGGATTGTTCTCTTAGTGTACTTAGTGAAAATCCAAGAGGATTGTTCTTGGTGGTTTTATTGGTTAGTGTGATACGGTGGGAGAACTGACTTGAGGTTTTGCGTTTGTTTTCGCAAATGTTTAGGTTGAGCAAGAGTCGCCACCGACTTTTTATTTTATCCTAAGGAAATGTCAAAAAGCACAGGAAAGACCTTTGAGATGTTTTCTTGGGTTCGGGGAGTAGGTTATAGAAAGGGAAGGTATTAGCACCCTTTCTATCTGTGATCGGTGGAAATAGAACTGACTGTTTTTTAAGCTGGTTCGCGAAATTTCGCGGTAAGCAAGAGTCGCCACCGTCTTTTATGTTCTCCAACATGGAAAGGACAAAAGCACAGCAAAATTCCTTCTTTGAGAATGTTTCTCGGTTCGGGAGGTAGATTTATAGAAAGGGAAGGTGTTAGCACCCTTTATATCCGTGGTTATCCACGGGCTCTTAGGTACTTGCTCTTATGTTTTCAAAATTTGTTTGCTTTTCAAGTGTGTGTGGGTTTTTGAAAAAAAGTTCGTTTGAAAATTTTTTAAGTAACTCTTGTATCAGTCCTCAAGAGTGTATGAAAAATTTGTTTGAAATCTTTTTGAAATTGTCAGTGTGAAAAGATGTTTTTGTTTTTTGAAAGAGCAAGTACCCAGGAGAAATCTACCTACTCTAAGGAATTAGGCTGTGTAAGAGTCCTTTAGATAGTGCTATCCCACTATTGAGAAGTAGGTAGCGCCGTCGTTGGAGTTGTTCGGGTCAATTCGATTATAGGGACAGTGTGGTCACCAAAGCAATAGTAGGACACCTTAGCGGTAACCCTAATGTCCTAGATCCTTTTTTTTTATCCGAGGCAACCGTTTCGAGGCAACTGGATCTTAGATAGGAGGGCGACCTCTAAAACACCCTATACTTGACGACCACGTTCGAGGAAACCAGTGAGGCGTACCCTAAGAGTGGTATGTGCATGTGTGTTGTTTTTCAGTTAGTGTTTGTCTTTGCATGTTATTTGTGAGCTACAGATTAGTTTTATTATCATACAGTCTTGCAGGCATATTAACAGTTAAGAGTGCGGAAAATAAAATGCGGAAAAGGTAAATCTAGCTATTACAAGGCGCGGGTCTATACATCGCCAAAAACAAAAACCCGTTTTGAAAATAAGAATGCGAGAAATAGTAAATAAAGAGATAAACCTAATTAACTATTACATTTCCGGAAGCAGTTACATAAATATAATGAATTAAAATAAACTGCGCGCGAAAGAATGAATCGGGACGTCCTAAGGGTTTTGACCCTTTTTTTGAGAAAAGAATGAGATTTGTCCCTTTTTGTAATTAATTAAAAATTAAGTCTAATTACTAATTAATGAATTAATTAAAGAAAAAAAATGTTTTTTTTTGCATTTTTATGTTTTTTAATGAAAATAAAAATAAGGATTAAAAAGTCAAAAGAAAAAAACCTAGTTCTAAATTTATTTTAGTTATTAAGAAAAAGATTAAAATTGCCTATTTAAACTAATTAATTAATTATAATTTATTTACAAAAAAAAAATATGAAATTAATAAATAATAATAATATTAGTTTTTTTTTAATTTTTATTGTGAAAAGGTTAATTAACTAATAATAATACTAATAATTAATAAAAGGGAATTATAAAAGAAAATAAAAATTAAAAAAAGAATAACAAAACCAAGGGGGTTTGGGCGCAGAATAGGGGTGAA